AGCCAGGAAAATGCAGCTCAACTGGCAGCTGAATCACAAAACACAAAAGCCTAACAATATCTGAAAACTCCACCCAAACAATTCAGTAGTAAAGACAATGTTGATTGGCAAATTTTTTATTCCCTGTCAAAATATTTGTGGTTTCTTTTGTAGGGAGGTGGGAGATATTGTTAAAATCCTTAATTATGTTTGAACTAATATTTCAATGACCTAATCTGAAGAGATTTTGCTTAAAGCAAGTACATTTTACCTGAGTATTGATCTAAAGGGAAATACCCTCCATTCTTAACAAGTAGTTCTTAGAAGTAAGTGCTTATGTGCAGAGGAATGATTTCAAAGTATGACTTAAAGAAAAGCTTAGATCTATTTTATTTTTAAATTTGAAAATAAAGTTGGGAGAAAGCATCGTATTAAATAGAATGAAAGAAGCACAGCTGGCAAAGGGCCTTGAGAAGGTCATCATATTGTAGTGTGTTTGTCAAGGCAGAACTCCAAAATGAAAACAATGGAAAGATAATCCTCTGGCTTACAAAAAAAGTCATCACTAAAAGCAAATATAGAGGTGTACAACTCTTCAGTTTATCTCAGAAAGTACAAACACTATTAATTTTCACTCAAATTGATGTGTGCTCCAGCTGGTGTGGGAATTACAAAGAGAGTGGTGGAAATGAATCGTCTTCCCTGTGTGAGCCAAAGACACATTATGTTATGTCTTTCCCCTGCCTGTGCCTGTGTCATAACCTCTTCTCCATGCCGACGAGGTGTCTGGGTCTATGTACCTCAAAATGGTGTCTAATGTAGACCTGCTAGGTACAGGATAAACTTAGGTCCAGATAGGCACTGTTGGACAAAGTCTCATGAGTTTTAAGAGCCGATCTTTACAGAAGGCACAGGGAAAGCATTAATTTAGTCAAGAGAGGTAAGCAATCATTGTGCATTGTGTTTTGTGGTAGCAGTGCCATTTTTAGGGTTTTTATTTATAATAAAATTTATAATAAAATACTCCTTTATTTTTGCTAATAACAGATGTCACCTTGTATTATTTACAAAATATTGTCTCTTCGAAAGTATTACTCTGTGGCTCATGTGTTAAATTATACTAATTTTAAGAATATTCTATTCTATTTTATTTATTTATATTTTTGGATCCTGTTTTCCAGTGGGAACCCACTCTATGGGGCTCAAGGAAAACTAGCCCTTCCCGGCTCCTCCCAGCTGAAGCACGCACATGGACAGCGGGCTGGGGGAACAGGTAACTGAGCCCTGCAGCCCCCAACAATGGTGATTGGTTCAGGGGTAGGACAGTTAAACTCCCCTTGTTGGATACATGGGTTCTGGGAAAGGAAAAGTCTCTCTGTTCCACAATTATTATGAGCTGTGTTTACGGTGTGAGCCTGAAGCTACCAGTGGCACATTTAGAGAGAGAGAGAGAGGGCCTGAAAAATGAAGGCAACAAAGACAACACTGGAACAAAGAAACGGAGGAGAAACAGAGCCCTGACATCCTCGCTGGAACACTGAATCCATCCCAGTGCATCACCTGAGACACACGGCTGTCTGAGCGGCACAGCAGGCGAAGTCCCCATGCCTTCTGAACCACAGTCTCTGTGCCCCTCTGCTGGGGGAAAGCAACCCGTCAGTCCTTTCCGCTTCCCGGTGCAAACCCTCACTCCAAGGGGATCAACCATTGCTGCTAAGGCAATCCTTTCGCCAGGAATGAATGACATTCAGGTTTGGAGAAGGAAACACAGCCCTTGAATTAGGTTTCTCACATTATGCAGGAAGACCAAAGACCTTACTTCCTCATGCTGGATACTCAGGCCCTCTTCCCAGCATACAGCCATGTCCGGGTTTTATTTTGCAACTACTGACGGGAGGGAGATGGCGGGGGAAATGGGTTGTGTGCTCACTGCCTGCTAGATCTCATGAGTCCGTGATGTGTGAGGTGACAACATGATGCAGCCCACAGAGAATCCGGAGTCTTACTGTTTTAACATTGAAAGAAACCAATCAATAATTGAAACCAATGTTTTTGTGGTGAGGTTAATTGAAAATGATAACAACTGTATTCACTAACACTTACTGAGTCTTCCTATAGTTGTATGAATGTAGTAGATCTATGGATTTATTTTGGTCACTATTTTGTGAGGACAGATTTTGTGGTACAGAAAAGATTATATCTTGCACAAGACCACACAAATCCCAGCTGGAGCTGAGATTTGAACGTAGGCAGTCTAATTCCCAAGTCTATACTGTTTTTTTGTTTTTGTTTTTTCCTGTGTTTTCTGTGACAGGATCTTGCTCTGTCCGCCCTGGCTAGAATGCAGTGGCATCATCATAGCTCACTGCAACCTCAAACTCCTGGCCTCAAGCCATCCTCCCACCTCAGCTTCCTGAGTAGGGTAGTTGGGACTACAGGCATATCCCCACACTCAGCTAATTTTTCTATTTTTTCAATTTTTTGTAGAGATGGGATCTCACTCTTGCTCAAAGTGGTCTTGAACTCCTGGCCTTGAGTTATCCTCCTACCTCAGCCTCCCAGAGTGCTAGGATTACAGGTCTGAGTCACCATGCCCAGCCTATACTGGTTTTTATCCCACCAACCTCGTTCATCGTAATTCCCTAGCTCCATGAACACTGACCCCGAGAACTTCCATCATTTCACATGTAATAATTACATTTTTTTCCACCTCTGCCACTTACTATGTGGCATTAGTAAACTTATTTGACATCCAGGTTTCATACAACTAGCTCATAGGCCTGTTGAGAGTATTAACTTAGGACATACAAAACACTTAGCATAGCAATAAATATTAATATAAGGTTTTATAATTATTGGTATTAGCAGTAGCAGCACTGTTCTTTTTTAAATCAAAACTTAACCAATACTTTTCTCTAGTAAATAATTCTCAGGCTTTAACAATGTATTTTTAACCTGAGTTTCTGGTTGAGGTACCTTATGACATGGAAATATCAAGTTTTACTGTTAATTTCAAAGATACAGAAAGTCTCCAGCTTAGGTGAAGTGAGAGACATCTGAGACTACAAGGGTGGTTCCTCGTCCTTCCTTCCCATATCAGACATGGGCTCTTTTCCCTGAATAATACTTGAAGTTTCTAATGAAGTTGCAGATTGCCTCAACCAGTAAGAACATCTAAGTTATGAAACATATCCATGTTATGCCCCACCCCCAAACATAAACCTATATAGATTACAGGTTTATTACAAGTACTTCTCTAGCCAGGAACATCCTGCTAACGACATTCTGTAGATAAGGTCCCTACAAAAATCACTTTTTATCAGAGGTCCAGTAGACAAGGAGACTAGGCAGTCACCTGGGTGGGGAGGCTCCCCAACAAAGCAAATGAATTGGTTGCAGACCAGCTATTTTAATTCTTTCCTTCCTAGTTCCATTATAAGATATCAACTACACTTGATCCTGTAGTTCAATTTGTGTCTGACATGCACCTTATAACATAGCTCTTAATTATCAGTGTCTCATCTTCTAGTATAATTTCTGGACTGTGTGGTTGCTAAATTATTTGGCTTCCAACATACTGGTTCTTTTATCAATTCAAACTCAGATAAGCCATATTATTTACTAGTAGTTGTCATTTTGACTATCTTCAAATATTTAAATAACTGTTACCTTAACATGTCCACTAATTTCAAGTATAACATAATGATAGAAATAAAGCAATTTTGAAAATATATCTAGGTAAATGGGTAAATAGCCCTTTTAGAGTAGGTTGCATTCTAATAATTTGAGCTCCCATTGCAATAAATTTCAGTTAATTGCTTAAACCTTGTCTTTCTTAGACTGTAAGCATCAAATGTGTATTTGGCCACTTAAAGTACTAATAAATTCACTAGTAAAGCATTTTTTAAAAAGTATATTTGTTTTGTTTACCTTTGCCCATTCAGAATCTAGCATAGTTTTGGCATAAATATGATTGAATATTTTCTTAAGCACCAGTTATTGAAAAACAATTCATCTGTAATATCTGTTTGGTTTATGCTGTTGTCACTAGTTCTTACAAACATAGGGACCATCAGCAGGAATGTATAGTGCTGCAAATTAATTATAGAGAGAAGATATCGTAATGCCAAAACTTGCTGCATATTGAATTTTCTCTCCAAATATATTCATAATTTCCTTAGAAAACAAGTTTCTAATCACGTTCTACATACTCAGAAATTTATATACCTGAGTATACAGCATCCAGCCTTAGGAAAGGATCTTGTTTCAGATGAAAAACTATTTGCTCTCTTACTTCCTTATATTTTTTCCAATTTTCTTTTCTCTCTTTTATTAAACACACCAAAGAATCCACCAAAAATGGAAGTGGAAACCCATACTACACTTGCATTCCAATCACTTATGAAATTGAGTTATCCATCAAAGATAAACAGTAATAAGAGATTTGCTCAGTTTTAAAATGAGAATAGGACCTACTAGTGTGTTCTTCCCAATTAGCAAGATGAGTTTCTTTTTATTTCCCTTGCCTAAGTTTTGCCTCTACTTATGGGTCTTTCTTTTGTCAAGATACTTGTTTTTAAGTTTTTCTTTTTTTGTATGTAAAATAACGTGAGGTTTAGAAACAGATCATTCCTGCCAATGGTGTGGTTCTATTGTATTGGCAGCAGGACAGAAGGCTGCTTGTGTTTCTACGTCAAAATTGACAGTTTGATTTTGAATTTTTCGTGTTTTTCACAGTGAAAAAGTGGATTTTCATTGGGAGGGCATCATCACTGTGGAAACAGGTGAATGTGCGATTCCCAGGTCTGAGAATTTAAGATCACAGTTTAGATTCCCACATGTTTTGTTTCTTTCCATTAATCATTAACAATATTTTCATGGATGAGAGTAAGCAACATTGCTCTATCATTTTCAAGTTAGAGCAACTCTTACAGTTTTGAGAAACAGTTAACATTGTTCTTGCAGAAGTGCAGCATCATTGAAGAAATTATAGAATAAATGATTACCACAATTGACTATTGTGATTTTTAGCAGGTACAATTTTGATTTTATTGCAAGGCACACAATCATATATACAATGCATAATTATCATCTTTAAAAGTATGAGATATAAATAAATAATATACATTATAATAAAGAATATGTGAATACACTTTTGTTTCAGAGAAGAAAATTGCCTTAGGGCAAATGAGTTTATGCTCTTTTTGGTTGAGATTCTCATATTTATGCTGAATCATCCAAACAACTCTTGGTTAGGAAATAAATCTCACTGAAAGGACATACAACTTTGTCACAGTTTTCTATCTAAAAAACTCCAATTTAAAGCCAGAAACATCTATAAATTGTCTCATAATAGTTATACAAGTTTAAGGACTTTTATTTCTCAGTAACATATCACAGAATGGAACCATCTTCTTCAGATATATGTGAATATTTCTTGATTTTTTTCCCCAAAATTATATTTTCTTTTTAGGATTAAGCCTGGCATTTTGATTTTAAGTCTCAGGGACACTCTTAGATTCCTAAGTAGTCTGAGACACTGAGAGTGTTTCCATTGTCCTCCAGTTCCGAGTTGCAGGTTTCCTCCTCACCATGCATGGCTGGTTCATTTCTCTGCACTTTCTGCGTGGGCACATAGGGTTCATGTGGAGAGCCCATCTCAAGGTTGGACACGTGCAGGTCTGGTCTCAGAGAGACACAGCAGACAATGCCCTCCCATTGAGGTTGAAGAAAGGAGCATCAAAAGTGGGAGATATCTCAGAGGTAGTAAGTCTCGGACAAACACATTGTAGGGAATGATGAGCGAATGGCAATATGATCGCTGTTCATGGCAGGACACACACACTCGCATGTGAACCTATACACTTCGGCAAAGAGACACATTTGTGAGTGGCGTCTTTCCTGGCGTGGGATTGACATCACCATTCCTGTAAAGCAATGTCCTAAAACGACATTTCCATCTTCTCTCTTTTCAGCTTTGGGAAGCCAGTATTAACAAAAACGGAGAAGCTTGGGAGGAACGACCCTTCTTGGGTGTTACTTCTCTTTCTCTTTGTGCGCAAACTTCCACGTGCAAAGATGCAGAAGAAATCAGGCAAACAGTTCAGACTCCGTGAATGGTAGTTAATGCCACGGAAGCACAGGCAGCGCTGGTTTAAAGAGAACACACTGCTCTGATTTCATTCCATGATTGTATTTCTGTTGTGTTTTGCACTGGGTAAGAAGCTAAGAGGAAAATTTCCTGGGTTTTGCTGTTTTATAAAGAGGTTTTTATATTTCCTGTTCTAGTGGGGTTTGTTTCTGAAACTACTCTCTATAAAGACATCTTTCCTATATGATAACCAAGATTTTTAACTAAGGCGTTAGTATAAACCAGTATTTAAGCCAATCATTCAGTTATAATAATATAAGGACATCTAGGAATGTCAAAGAAATTTAAGAAATACTCAAAAGAGTGCTTCATTTTCACTAGGAAAAATCCCTGCCATGCTGCCTTCAGTCATTGGTGTTAGGTGTCATGACAATCTGGAATAGACACAAATATGATAAGGGTAAAATTGTGAAACCACATGTAAAACCTTCAACGTGAGTTTTTATTTCCAAAAGGAGAGAGGCTATACACTAGAAAGAAAATGCATGGTGAACAGCACTTACAGATGCAATAGTGTCTACAGTTATACAGGGCTTTACATTTGATTTTTCTATTAAATTGCAAAGGGTGCTGCCCTAATAAGATATAGGCTTAGAAATGGGTGTTATTTCTAAATTATCCCTTTTTTCTTCCCAGGAAAATTACAGAAAAATCCATTACCTCTGAAACCATACATTTCAGGGGGAAAAAAAGAGGGAATTTCTATGTCATCTGGAAATTTTAGCAAAATTATCCTAAATGTGTTGCTCATGACATTATCCTCAGCAGGTGTGTTCTTCACAGAACACAGTGCAAGGTGTGTCCAGGAACTCCGAGCACCGTAATGTTCCCATTCAGCACACATTTAGGAACAATTCTACTTTCTTGCCGAAAGCCACAGAGTAGTATCTTGAGACCTCCATAAGCAAAACATCTTCCTCCCCATAAATACAGGGAATCTGGTAACAGCTATAAAGAGATGCTACAAACAGGCTAGATTCTGCCAAGGCTACAACCTGGGAGAAAGTTAAAGGTTTCATGACTCATTAACATGAGTTATGAGCACTGTTAAACGACAAAGGACTAAATGGGGTCCGGGAAGTTGGAAAGAGATCCCGCCATGACCGACTACCAGCAAAAAGTCTCAGCATCAACTCTTAATAACTCCGGGATCATTACTGTGCCCTTGGGAATCCCCTGGCTAGAAGGCAAACCCATTCCTTATTTGCACGTGTATCATTATTTACAGATGAAGCTGTATATTTTTTCAGTGGTATTCAAACCACTTTATGTTTCTTGACATCGGGACATGCTTTGCCATAAGATTATTTACCTGAATAGCATGCTAAGTAAAAAACAATAACTAGTTTTAAAGAAATTGAACTTTGTTAAAAACCACTTTTTACATGTTTAAGTAATTTCATAAATATCGAGATGATGTTCTACTATACATGAATATCAGATGCCTCAGGTGTGGGCCCAATCACACTTCAGCTGCAGTTCTCACCACATCACCCCACAAAATGCATGTCCACACAGCATAAAGTGAGCTGGGTGTGAACCCTGGAAATGGTTCTCATTCTTTTTGAGGTTGTTGCTGTCATTGTTAACATCTGGATTGGATGTCCACTGAGCTCTGAAACCAATGTGTTTTTTTGCCTTTTCCTTTTCTCTTAAATAGAGGTTTTGAAACCACATTGCATAGGAAGGCCACAAGAGATGGGTGCTGACCTAAATATAGGTCACCAGAAGGAAAGGCCTGTTCTTTGTTCCTTGGAGGAACCGAGAGCCAGCCTGCCTTCCGTGCCCTAGAGAAGAGTCAGGTTTGTTGCTCGAACCTTCTGCCCTCCTTCCTGGCAGCCTTCATGTTTCCACCGACCTGGATGGCCAATGCAGTCTGTATCTTAGGACTTTAGACCATGAGATTTCAGAAAGTTTATTAAAAAGTCTCTTTTCATCTCAGACTGCAGTAGTAATCTGAGTGAGACCTAGATCGTTGACCTCTTCTCTTCCTGAAGAACTATAAGAAGACATCTCCACGACTAGTCATACTGGCTTATTCATCCCATCCACATCCCTCATGTAGGCAGGATCCTGAACCGTGTTTCTGACTCTGCTGGTGCTCTGTCGCTCCATCCTCATCTTAATGGGAAAGCAGAAGTCCCTGAAACACCGCTTGAAGTTTTCATCAAGGAAGGCGTAGAGGATGGGGTTCAGGCTGCTGTTGGTGTACCCCAAGGCGATGCAGAAGTAGTAGCTGGAGAGGGCAGCCGTGCTGTGGGAGGTGCTGCCCAGAGCCTCCACCAAGATGAAGATGTGGATGGGGGTCCAGCAGACGATGAAGACCGCCACCACCACCAGCACCAGCCTGGTGATCCGGCGGAGATTGCGATCTTTCTCCCGAGAGCCAGAAAGGAGCCGGACGCTCTTCAGGCGCAGGATCATCAGGGTGTAGCAGACGATGATGATGAGGACGGGAATCACAAAGGCAAAGACGAAGACACAGATCTTCATGAACAGATCCCACCAGGAGTAGTCATCATCCGGGAACTGCAAGGAACACTCGATGACCTCCCCGTCTGCAGCAGTGAACAAGACCATAAAAAGAAAACCTATTATCGCTATGGCCGTGGCTGCGAAGTGTTTTAATGTGAACTTTAAGACCTCTGATTGCAATGGTTCAATGATGGAGAGATGCTATTACCTGAAGTAACCCCCCAAATTAGGAACGAATGCCGTTACATTACATTAACTGTCCTATCTTTGTGCATAAGAACAAGGATGCTAGAAAGTCACCATTTATTGGTAATATACACAATAGTGTAAATAAGTAAGATTAACTAGCAATATTACTTACCTAGTTGTGGATGCTGGTTTGACATTGATGGTTTTAGAGGAGCTAAGTTGTTATTTTATAGCATGGCTACTTATTTGTATTTCCATTTGTTAACAGTTCTCCCAGACTTCAGACTCTGGCAGTAAAAGTTAATGCCTATTTGTAGTAGATGACTAAATATTTCAAATCTAGCCATTGAATTTAACAAAAACCAGCTTCTCTGAAAAATATTAACTGGTTTACAAGAAATCATTATGTGGGTCAATAAAAATGGATATGAAATTTGTCTAAATTTGAACCAGGTACTGTGATTTAATGGACCCAAAGGTGCTCATTGTAATTAAGGGCGTTACTGAAACATGAGTAAAAGTTTTGGAGGAGAAGAAAGAGGAGGAAGGAAAAGAGAAGGAGAAAGAGAATCATCCTTATTATTAGGGGAATTTTGAGTAAATCAGGCATATTTTTTTTCATTTATACCCACATTATTATGTATCTCAGATAAAGCAAATATTTTTACATGAGAACTTAGAAAAATTTTTTATTGCTCTGCTTCTCTTCACTGGGTAATAATCCCTTAGAGTGACCTTAATACTAGAAAGAGCAGGGACCCAGGATCAGTACCTTTTAAACTAATTTCATGAGGGCTCACGAGCAATCTCTTCCCCACAAACCAATCAGCTCACTTTCCCCTCCTGCCCCTGAGCAGTCAGCCAGCACAGAACAGACCTCCCTTTGCCCTGATCCTTCCTCACAGATAAGCAAGACTATGAGTATAATTTTTGTGATAAAAATATTTTCTTCTGATGTTGGAAAAATCTGCTTCAAAAATAGCCTAAGAACATTTTTAAATAGTGAAAGAACTGTATCAATAATGTGATCTTAATCAAACATCCCTTAGTATAACAAAATGCATCTTATTAGAATTCCAATTATACATACATTAAAATACAAAGGATATAATCATTTGGGCAATTATTAAAGATGAATATCGTAGAGATCTCCTTTTATCAATTAAATATCAGATCAAATCTTCGAGGAGTAAATGATAGCTTCCAGGGTAACTTGTAATTTTTGCTTCTCTAAAAAGTCATCAGGCAAAGTACTATTACTATGAAGACTATTAGCAAAGGCAACACAGGGCCAGTGTTTAATTTGGACATATATATTCAACTCTGAGCATCAGCTTCCCCTTGAACAAATTGTCTTGAATGTAGTAGGAGCCCAATAAATATCTGATGAATGAATGAAATAACTAACAACAGCTACTTTTACAGGACTTCAGGAAACTAACATCCAACTACAAAGTTGGAAAAATCCTCCAGAAAAGTCAGCAAAGTGAATTTATACAACTGCCAAGAACGGAGAGAGCTGAGACACTCAGTGGGAAATCCCAGTCCAGGAGTGCTGTTTTTATCCCATGCTCCTTTTCAGGACAAAGGAGGCATTTTCAGGTTGAATTATCTAGACAATTGCCTCAGTTCCAAAAGTAGTTTCTTTTCCTTTTGTATTAATATCAGAGGGCCACAGCTCCTGCTGACTCATGCTCCAACGTCTCATGGCTGTCATAATTATAGAGTTAGTTCTAACAGCTAAACTAAAGATTTTCTTGTGTGTATTCATTTTGGTAAGAATAAGTCTGTTTTTGTAGCTATTATAATAATTCTTAGCTAGTATAATAATAGCAATAGGCAGACTATGAATTCTCCAAAATAAATAACACACACACATATACACTGCTGTATATACAATATTAGATTCAACGTTTTATGCCCATAAAGTGAAATTTTGCTGTATGCAAGAGACCTCAATACTGGATGAATACCAGATGGATGATTAGATGATGGCAGACACAGCAACAGGCATGGCCTGCTACAACGCACTGGCTGGCATCTGCTGAGCCCTGACTGACGCCAGGCACTGCGTCTCCAGTTTCCCACGCAGTGACCCCTTAGATCTGGAAACGCCCAAGAAGGGTGGGAACCCGTGGCCTTCTGATTTCAAGATTCTTATTTTTTAAGCACCAAAGGAGGCAAGAAAAGCTTCATCTTTCTCTGCCGCACCCCTTTTAATAAAAGGATTTACTCTGTAAAATTTGGATTCAGCCAGGCCGCACTTAAGGAGAAGTGTGAAGGCCACGTGTGGCCTTACAGCCACAGGTTCCCCACCTAATGTCTCTGAAGTGACACTGCACGTAAGCAGTGAAGTCAGGATTCTATCCTATGCAGGCTGCAGTGTAAGAATCTGTGCTCTTAACCCAAAAGAAATACTGTCAACTTGGAAGCATTAGGTGAGACAGGGTTTGTCCAGGTGGACGTGATCTAATGCAATCCAGGCCTGATGTACATTCTCCACACACACGAGGCTGTGAACCACCAATGCCACGCAGCTCCAATTCAGTGCACAGAGATTGTCTAAAGTATTCCCCTTGATCATCCAGGAGCCTTAATGTGCAGTGTGGTGCAACACTCCAAAATGAATGCACTAGACAATGAAGACAATCTTTCATCATATAAACAAAACCTGCTTTTGCAAATTAAAAAAAAAAAAACATGAGGGAAGAATGGAGCCTTCCTATAAGACTATTTTAATTTTTTCCCCTTTTTTGCTGAAAAAATTAACCTTCTGCTGAAACTTGGTGGATCTTTTCTTCCATTGCATCTTCACACATTCATCTGTAGCAACTCCTTCCAAGAAAAGCCACATCTTCATTTCCCCATTCAAAAACCTAATTGAAATCTATTTCATCTAGTATGTCATTTTCTGACAATGATTAGAAGGAATGTCATGGTTAAGTCTACAAGTGTAACATGAAACATAAAAATCAGTTCTTTATTTGTCCTGGGAAAAATCATCTATCTTCTTATATTATTTAGCCCATTCTTCTCACCTTCAGGGTATAGACTAGGTATCTCTTTTTGAATTTGAGTTGTTATGCACAAACACCCAAGCCTTAGAAGAGTTTCTTGCACTTTATTTTTATTTGTTGTAAGCATGAAGAAACGAAATCCTGCATGTGATTAATCACATTTTAAAATGCTTATCTGATAGAGAAAGTTGGGCATTTCTTAAAACTGACCATGTATTACAGCTTGACACCTGCTGTGGCAATGCTAGAAATTCATGTTATGGTTTCAGAGGAGAAAGATCATGCTTCATTAACACAATGGGCGCATGTCGTTGCACATTTCTCCAAACCCATAGCATGTGCAGACCCCGAGAGTGAGCTCTCATGGAATCGATGGATGATGGGTGATAATGATGTGTCAATGTGAGTTCACTGCGTATAACAAATGAACCACCCTGCGGGAGAAGCTGATAGTGAGGGAGGCTGTGCATGTGTGGGGGTAGGGGGCAAATGGGAACTCTCTGTACTTTCTGCTCAATTTTGCTGTGAACCTACAACTGTAAACTAAAACCCGAATTAAGTCTAAAACCAAATAAACAAAGTCCATGTACCATAAATCGTGTAGATAAGCCACGATTTTAGTTCCAGCTCTTCCACTATGACTGCAAAGTCCTTGCCATACATACTCAATTATCTGTACTCACAGGTACCACCACCCTCCCTATCGGTGTTGGCATGGGGTAAAAACTAACTTGTCCAAAATCTAATGGTTCTGCTCATCGGTAAGTACTGTCCATCTGGGAACCTGACCTGAGTGGCCTACAGCCAAATGGAGCTGTTAAGATAGTGAAGTGAAGATTATCCTTCAAGGGGAAAAGAGCAAAGAGTCAGAATCTCTACTGATTCAAGTCCCTCGCTAGGGAAAAAAAAAAGGCGCGAGAAGTCGTGTCCTGGGGTTGCCAGGCTGTATTTTAGAAATGCACATGCCTGTGGTTTCTTTCCTCATGCTCACCCCTCTGCATGCTGGTAAGCACTCCCAGAGCAGGAGACAGACGGGTGAGGTACCTGTGTTCTCGCGATGACATTATTCCCTTCTGTGTTTAGAGCTGGAAAGGGACCCTAAATTGTTTCATTTCTCAGTTTCCATGGATGTACACACTATATTTCCGTTGTCTTTTGGCTTTGCCACTAGACATGTGTCCTACTCACCCCGAATTAAAAGTTTGTACAATTAGAAGTCACATTTTTATAAATGGAATGAAAACGACACTCTTACCTTCCCTAACTTTGGTGCCTCCGAGGACGATTGCGGATATGCCCACAGAGGAGGACAGGAGCCAAATACAGATGTTGATGATCTTTGCCTTCAGGGGCGTGCGGAAGTCTAGAGCCTTCACGGGGTGGCACACAGCGATGTAGCGGTCCACGCTCATCATGGTCAGGGTGAAGATGCTGGTGAACATGTTGTAGTAGTCGATGGAAATGACTATCTTGCACAGCACAGCCCCGAAAGGCCAGGAATTCATCAAGTAGACGGTGCTCTGGAAGGGCATGGTGGTCGTAACTAAAGCGTCTGCCAAAGCCAGGTTAAATATATAAATATTGGTTGCTGTCTTCATCTTTGTGTACCTAAAAGACAAGAAACATAGCATTTCTCTCCATCTTCAAGTCAAATCCATGAAGTAAATGTGTTGTGATGCCTTTTGGATTATTGATTTTGCTTCTTCGTTCACTTGTTCTTTTTGTATTCATTGAGTGTTTAATACACAAAAGAATGATTCTAGACCTCAGAGGTAACAGGAAAAATGGACAAAGATGTCTGACCTTATCGAGCTTTTATTCTAGTGCTTTGTTCAAAAATTTTTAAATAAAAAAATACAAAGAAGATAGCAGAGATAGATAAAAGGTGAATATACCTATAAATCTTTTCAGCAATATTGCATGTAATACAGGTATTTATTTTGTGGCTAACAATTCATTTTATTTTATCTAGAGTTGTTTGGCTTTAAATATTTAAACATTTTTTTCTTCCATTTGTGCAAAACAAAAATAGACATTTTTACCTCATAGTTACTCAATCATTGTAATTATAATGTCATTTGAAAACACAAAATGGTTTTCAATTTTGAAATATGTCCAGTTGCATTGGCTAAAACACAGTTAGGTTTGCTGATATTTGTTTTCCAGTGCACCACTAATTTGTCATTTTCAATTGTTTATATAAACAAAGCAGGTGAGTTCTCTTATACATGCCATAGACTGAGCATAGTCTGGTACAGTAGGTGAGAAAGAATTCTTTCTTTAATCTTGAGAGATTTTTAAAGCACATAATTTGTCTCATTTTCCAATGGAGGGAACAGTAATTTTCCAGGTAGGTCAGAAAGATTGCCTTTTAGCCTGAATTATTCTTTAATCGTAACACGAAGTGTAGAACAATTTCATTTTCAACTAAAATTGAATTAAGAGGGTTGTTTTACTTAGAGAATGCTTCCTCAAAAATCTGCAGAGCACTAAATGGTCCAAACTATACCATCAGGTTTTCAGAGGCCATGAGTTACAGTGTGTTGGGAAAATCCATATGTTAATTACTTCTGCACACCTTAGACTTGTAGACCTCATCACAATGCATGCGTGCCCTGTTCAATGCATAAATTTCCCCACAAGAAACATCTTTTAATGTTCAGCAACAGAACAGCCCTGGCTCCTCTTGGAGGCAGTGTGGTCTAACACGAAGTCGGATAGTCTCAGTCTGACTTCGGTGTATGACTTACCTGAGTTTCAGTTCCTGCTAAATAAGAATGATAAAGCTTAACTCAACTCGCAGAACATGAGACAAGGGCCTAGATGACCTGCCACACAGAATTGCACCTCACCCTCAGCCACTGCCATCCCTCCCTTTCTCTTCTCCTTAGGCAGTGGCTGGGTTTGGGTTTTGATGGGAAGACATTGCAAAAAATGGGTACCTAGAGTTGGCATCTGTTTGTTTCCATTCTGATGTTCTGTTATCCAAAGAGTCATTTAATCTAGAGAGTGACAAGTTTATTTAAAATATGTTTTTCCTTTATATTTTTTACTCAAACATTATTAAATAACCTATATATTTAAGAAAATGATTAAATATGTCTGGTTAAGTGCTCATAGTAAGTGCTTTATGAAAACACAGATAACTAAGCAAGTATAGTGACTGAGAGTGAGCCAAACATTTCTAATGAAAAGACTGAAATGCTATCTATTTAGATATTTTCTTTAATATATGGTTTTATGTTTGAAAACAATGCATCTTACAAACCTGTCTTCTACCCTTCCAACTCCCTCCCACCTCACACACAAAAAAAGAGAAAATCTCTGATAATAGCAAAGATTCCGGCAGGCAATATCTTTGAAGCCTCCTCTTGTATTCTGTGGCCCTGATATTCCCCTGTTTCTTTATGAAGTCAGACCTCTGCCTTATTAAATCAGACAAACCTGAGTTTGGATTTTTATTTTTCTCTTCAACTATACTCTAGAGAGGTCACTGACCACCCTGAGCCTCAGTTTCCCCAACTATAAAATGGAAAATACTATATTTATCTCATAGGGTCCCAGAGATAATGAATGAAATGCACGCGACACAGAGAGATGTGTGTCTATTTTCTGTTCCTCGACTCCTCTTTCCCCTCCTATGTGGGTAGAAGCCACCAGCTATCACAGGAAGCAGAGAGGCATGTAGTTTCTAGGTGACACCCATGGTCATATTTGTACAATTTGGCTTGAATATAAAAGATGCAAACACAAATGAAGTCTGGTACCTTCATGCTGGAAGAACAGGAATTGGAATGATACTTAAATTACCATAACATAGAATATGCATCTTTAAGTAATCATACGATGTGGCGTGATAGCTTGCTCTTAGCTTTTCAAAATATTTATAACCAACAAATGTATGAAATTACTTAAGGCTTGAACGTACAAAGAATTCAAATCCTGTCATCAGAACTCAGAATAATGAGAGGTAAGCATGAGCGATAAACATAATAACCACTTATTTCTAAGAGCTTCCGGTGTCAGACACTCTGCCTCCACTTCCAAGTGCTGGGTCTCATTTAGTCCTCACGGTACCTCAAGTGGCGGGCACTGAGTATCCTTGGTCTATAGAGGAGGCAACTAAGAATCACAGGATTTTCTTTACAATTCTCAAAGTGCTATAGCTATAAAAGGCATAGTAGAAATTCAAACCCAGGGGTTTGATTTCAATTCCTGCACTCTTACAACTCCCTAGCACTTTATAATTTACAAAGTGCAGTATTTTGACTTCTGTGTATCTTACTGGATTCTCACAACTATTGCCCGGCTAGCTTACCTGGGAGACGAACGTCTGCTCTCTCAGGTGGCTGCACAGAGTTGGGCCCAGGGAGGGTAAGTGATTTGTCCAGTGAGGGCAGAGGAGTGACCTGGGCAGGAGGGTATGAGCCAGGTGGGAGCCTCTCACCCTTGTCCCCTAGTTCTAGAAGATACGTGCTTATAAACCAACAACGCTGGAAGGGGAGCACTCACAGATATAATTAGAAGTAAAGAATAAGCTGTGAGTTCAATGTGTATTTGCCGATAGTCTTTTATGTGCTACGCTGCACTGGATTCTGCCAACGTGTGAATACAAAGCGAGGCCCTTACCCTCAGAGGCAGCGCCGTTGAACACCGGGGCATTGTCTGTCTTTAACTACAGCCAAACAATCTCCAGTCCTTTCATTCACTGTATGTCCACAGGTGAATAAACAAGCAAGCTTTCTTATTATGACTGGAAATGAAATTATTCTCCATTTCACCCACATTGCCTTGCAAAAATTCACAAGCATTGCAGGCAAAATGGCACCATCTGGGTGGGAAGTTCTGGCTTGTGTGGAAAAGCTGGAGGTGGGCTGGCAGCGAGTGGCTGCACTGTCGCGCGTTCACACCACAGGAGCATATGGCACGAAAAGAGCAAAGTCTGTGGGCCGTCCCTGCTGAACCTGAGGACGTTTCAAGCCTGGAAGCAACAGCACGGTGCATAGAATGCGAGGGCAGTCGGGGAAACGGGTCAGCCAGGACACTCGGGCGGCGACAGGGTGGAGGGTGTTCCAGAGAGTTAGAAATGCTCCCAGGAGACCTTAACTCAAGACCATCCTCTGTACTTCTCCTTACAGAGGAATGACGGGCGGCTTCTAACTTGGCAGCCACAGGTACTGTGTCATGGACAGGGGAACAGAGTTATCTGCTGAGATGTCAGAAACGAACGTCACCAGACAGGGTTTCTGGGAGATCGTGACACTCCCCAGGCTGGAAATGAGGCACCCTTGGGAGGGACACTGACCTGGTGACACAGCGGTCTCAGAGCTTCTTGTCCTTTCCATGCACCTGCTGTGCTCAGGTAGAAGAGATAATTATTGGATGATTAGCGCCCTTTGCTATTGCAGCAATTGCCTATGTTTGCTTTTTAAATTTCAATGATGTTGCTTTAATCAGGAACCCCTTTTCACCTCCATGACAACAGTACCATAAACCTTTAATTCTGTTGACTGATTACCATGCACCTTTAAAGACCAGCCCACTTTCAGTATTATTGATTTCAGTTATTTTGCACCTTGACCTCAATTGTCCCCATGTTGACAAATACACACCCTCTCTCCCCTCTCTGGTTATGTGCACGATGCCTCCCCTGTCCTCATCCCTTCATTGTTTCCACACATTTTTAAGTGCCTACCACATGGGCAGCAATACACAGCACTTGTAGGTTGACTAAAAAATTCAGTAAACAGACTGTGGCCCTGAGGGTCTTTTAAACTCATTGAGATCAATATAACGTGAACTATAGACGTAACAGAGGGGAAAGGTCAGTCTGCAGTGAAGGCATCAGAGCTTCAGAGAGAGAATCTGCAGGACCCTGAGCTCCAAGGAAGATTTGGGCAGAGGGAGGCTTAATAACTAGCGTCCCATGCAGGTGTCAGTGAGCAAACTGATTTCCTGATTCCAGGCTCCCGCCAGGAAGTCGTTGGGGGCTGGCTGGGGTGGGAACAGGCCACAGAGGACCCTGAGCACCAGAAGAAAAAAGTCCTTTTAAGCATTTCTTGATGACTTATTATGTGACAGACACCGTTTTAGGAACTTCATATAATCTGAGAAAGTTGTCATGGTGATTAAAATGAGACATGCATAAAATTACTTAGCACTGGCCCTGGTACTTGATAAACACTCAGGGAATGCCAGTCTCCAGCACTGTCACGTCACATTACAACCCCGTAAGGTCCTACTGCCCCTATTTTTTTTTTTTTTCTTTTTTTGAAGAGGAAAAGTCTGAGAAAAAGTGTTAGAAATATTCTCCATGTTTCTCAGGGGGTTTCAGAATCTACGTGTAATAAATGAAGGAACTCAGGGCTGTCTGATTCCAAAGTTTCTCAAGGAGTTAGGTATTTTATCAGAGAAATAAATTCTGCTACTTCCTGCGGCTGAGGTGGAACAGCGTTCTGACGGGTATGGTCAAATATGCTCCTATGCACCGTGAGGGTAGCAAACATTTAACTCAAAGAAATACGGCCCGGCCCAGAGGGAATACTATAACATAACACTGAATTTTGCCTCTCGATGGACAAAATGTCGTCACATATGTTATGTGCTTG